GGTATGTATTGCAAGGGATTGTGGCCCCTGGCAGGCGCGCGAACGCCGTTGAAAGAGCTGAAAGTAGCTCGCGCGAGCTCATGTAACATAAATGTTGAAAAACCATTGGTTTTTTAGGATTCGGACAGCGCGCGCGGGTAGAAAAAAAGTCGTGCTGGTGTTTTTCGAGGACCTACGGTGCGATTCGTGTGATTTTATGATGCGCGGTGCTAAAATTCTTAAGAAGCCCAATGGTTTTTGGAGATTTCGGCGTGCGCGCGCGAAGAAAAAACGAATGTGTCCCGCATGGTATTATTTGACAGGGATGATGGCCCTGGCAGGTGCGCAACCGTTGTCGCAGAAGTTCGAAAAAGTTGCTCGCAAAAGCCCGTTTGACAGAAATGTTTAAAAAGTGTTGGGTTTCCTACGAATCCGCAAGAGCGCGCGGGATGAGATTTTGACATTTTTTTGTTGAAAAACCATTGGTTTTTTGATGTTTTTATGTTAAAATCGCTGCGAACACTAAGCTTTTGGAAGGATTTCGTCTTGCGCGCGCGAATGTCCACTTTACCTTATTTTTTGCAAGGGATTCTTGAAATTTGATTATATTAGAACAAGAAATGTCATTTTATAGTGTTTTTTGCAAGGGAAAACGGATTACAACAAAACAACCGGATCTTGATGACATCGTATTACCTGAGGCTTCCTCACGAAAATGATGAAAATGTAGCTGCGGCCTAGGCGGCGCAGGGGGGCCGTGCACCAGGGGTCCCAACAATAATTATTCTTTAGAATTAATAATGTTCAACAACAACAACAACAGCAACGACAACGACAACGACAACGACAACGACGACGAAGATGATGGCGACGAGAGACGACGACGACGACGACGACGACGGCCGACAACGGAGAGCGACGACGACGACGACGACGAGGAAGATGACGACCGACAACGAAGAGCGACGAGGAGTTGTCGCGAGCACCTGCCTGCGAAAGCGTCGTTGCCTCCGCGTAGCGTGTAAGAAGTGTGTTCGTAACCTATCTCCTCCATACTCGTCGTCGTCGTCGGTCTCCTCCTATTGCTCTCTCTCTCTCTCTCTCTCTCCTCCGAACACCATAAATGCCTGAGAGGACCGCAACTTGCCCGCGGCCACCGCCCCTACGCAATCCCCACGCGGATCCCTATGCGTATCCCTTTGTGGATCCCTTCCCGGATCTCTATACGGGCCCCTGGGGATCCCAATGCGGATCCCTATGCGGACCCCGATGTCTATGTCCATGCGATGCCCATGCGGATCCCTATGCGGAATTCTGTGCGGATGCCTATGCGGATCCTTATTCGGGTTCCTATGCGGATGCCTATGCGCACGGCGGCAGCGCCGGGGGGCGCCCTGGGGGCCGGAGCGTTACTTTATGTGGAGAGGGCAGGGGGGCCATGCGTTTTGGCCCAGGCTATAAGGAAACACGCTATAAGCAAAGTAGGAGGAAAGGAAGTCTGGAGAATGATTTGCAACGGGGAATGTAGCTTGGCGGCATGTGGCGCGCGATGGCCAGCTGACCTCAGGTTGCACTTCGTTGTAAGCGTAGTTTTGGGAAGGGCAAGAGGTAAATACTGGAGGACGAGCAAGGCTTGCGACGACCTAAGGTGGCTGCGTTATCCTTTACGTGCCGAATGATTCGCAGCGTCAAAATGAAAGTGGCCAGATCAAGGTCAGGGTTGCGGGGCCAAAGGAACGGCGGCGGTTGTAGGCGTGGTGAAGGCGGCCCGTGTCCGCATTCGCCGATGTAGAAGGCACAGAGGCCTCTCCCTGTGCCCATAAGCACGCCCGCAGACGACCCCGGGTCAATGATGGGATCCCTCGTCTGCAGGCGGGCGTGGGGTTCCCAGAAAACTGACCTCGGGGCCGTTTAGGGGGTGGCTTCCACCCGGCGTGAGGAAGGCGTGTGCCTTCCTTGCGGTGGTGGGGACTCCCACGCTCGCCAGTCGAGCGGGTAGCCACGCTCGCCCAAGTTGAAGGCAGAACGTGCTGTCCCCCTGCACATAGTAATCCTCCCAGAGCGTCCACCATCTCCGTGACTGGTACCCTCCCCTGACCAGCAGGAGTGGAATGCCCAGACCACGGGAATGGTGGCCGCCTGGGTGGGTTCCACCGCGCGAGGGGGAACTGCACACCTTCCATGGAAGTGGCACGGTCGAAGGTGGCTCGACGTTCCCCCCCCCGCGCATAAACCACGACCCGACCCCATGATCCGACCCCACCACCACCACTAAGTGAGCAGCGACAAGTTGGCCACTGTGGAAGGCAAAGGTCATTTTCTGCGCGCGGCGCGACCTGTCGAGCTATGGCTATGGTAGCGGCCTGTTCGCGGCCGCGGCGCGGCCGCGGTCCGCGGTGCATCAGCGCCCCTTCCCGCCCCTGTGAACCCCCACCCCTTCCCGCCACCACACGAGGAGGGACGGTGGGAGGTTGACGAGGGGAAGCGGTAGAGGTGGAGGTGGAGTTGGCAGAATCCTCGCTCGTCGCGCGGGCCGCGGGCGAGGAGGCCCCGCGGGGGCCCGCGGCTGTCCCCTTGCGGGCGGGGAAGCCCCGCGGGGGCCCCACGCACGCCAGGTGGCGGCGCGCTGCCTCCGCCGACCGAGGGCGACGCGACGCGCCGCGCAGGCCTGCGCCCGCGACGACCCCGCGTGGGCAACGGCAACAAGGACAACGACGACGACGACGATGACGACGACGACGACTGGTGGCTCGACCTCCACGCCATCCTCTCGCGCGCGACGCGCAGGGAGGACATCCTGCGGATGCGCGCGCCCCCTGTCGACGTCCCTGTGCGTGCCGGGGGCCTCCCGCCGGGCCTGCATGCGCAGCGGAAGAACAACTCCTGGCTCGCGCGGCAGCCTGCCAGAAGACGGCCCCAATTTGACGAACGAACAACACACACCCATACCCATAGGGAGGTCGTTGGGAGGAGGACTGGCTATGGGTATGGGTGCGGGACGTCGGGCCCTGGGGAACGCTCCCGTTCAAGCGGGGACCCCCATCCGACAACACGCACCCATAGCCCTCTCCTATCCCCCTATGGGTATGGGTGTGTGTTGTTGGTTCGTCACAATTGGTCGCCGCGAAGAGGGGGTTCGAGTTCCTCCGAGCAGCCGGGGCCCGAGACGTCTCGGGCCTTGCAGTCTCGCGATGCCATCGCGCCGCCCCCTTACAAGTGAACTCGGGCTCGTCCCGTCTGGACCCGCAGCGCAGGAGCGGGGTTGCGAGCAGTCCCTGATGTCTCATCCGAGGAAATCCAGGAATCGTTACAGTAAGGGCCCGACCACAAGAAACCTTCCACAAAAAACCCAACCCTGAGACTCCAGAATGTGCATTGATTTGTAGTGGGGGAACGTCACGGCTTCCATCCCAAAACCATCCGAACCCAAGAAACCCAGGGCACCCTGGAGGCAAGCAGGGTGTTTCTTGGCATAGGCCTCCAATGCATCCTTCCTCCTGCTCTCTCGGCGGCTGTCCTCCTGCTGCGCGGCGCAGTGGTCGTCGCGTTCACGTGTCCGGTTTGACTTGTGAGAACGCGTGGGAGAATGCGACTGCCATTAACCACAGCTTTCCGTTTCTTGGCGTTCCTGCCAACATCCGCCACGCACTGTCAGTGGGTCGACTTCTTCGCCAGGTACCTCGTCAAGGACCAACCACAACGATGCGTAAAACGAACTGGGGCTTAAAACAACAACTCAACCAAAACCCAGCGTTCAAAACGAACGATTCAAGCAAAGCCGGTGCCAAACGAAACGCAGACCGAACCGAGGCGTTCAGAGCGGGGACAGGGCACGACACGAGACTGGAGCGAAGAACGAATACAAAGAAGCAACCTCTTCCAGCACTCGGGGGGCCGGGGCCCCTCCGCCGCCCCCATCCCGCCTCGCCCTCCTCTGTGGCCCGTCTGGGTCCCTCCCGCCTCGCCCCTTCCCCCCCTCCCCCCTCCTGGGCTTCTGCGCTGGGAGGCCCCCGGGCGAGCTCCTTTCGCCGCCAGGCCGCCCTCCGCGGACGCCCCACGCCCGCGGCCCGCCCAGGGAGCGCGGGCCCGCGCGGCGGAGGGGGGGGAGGGGGCGCCGAGAGAGCCGAGAGCGGGGAGGCGAGCGGAGAGGGGAGGAGGTCCCGCTCGGGGCGGCGAGCAGGGAGGGGGGAGGTGCTCCTCTGGCAGAGAGGGGGGAGGGAGCCTCCGGGGCGCTGGGGGTGGGGGAAGCAGCTCCCCCTCAGAGAGGCGAGCGGGGAGGTCGGAGACACACCGACCCGGGCCCACGCAGACCCGGGTCGGTGGGGCCCTGCAGGATCCAGCAGAGCCCTCCAGGATCCTGCGCGCCATGCAGCCCTGGCTCTGCAGGATCCTGCAAGAGCTGGCGCTCTGGCCGATCCCCTGCCTGCAGCGATCCCCCGCCTCGAGGCGCCCGCGGAGGGAGCTCGGATGGCTCGGGAGGCCTGCGGCCTCCTGGGGAGTTCTCCAGGCCTGGCTCGAAGACACGGACCACTTGTCAGAAGGCCGGAGGGCTTCTGAGGCGCGCCCCGCCGCCTTCCTTGTCGCTCCCCCCCCCCTCCCGCTCGCGGCAGAGCAGAGGAGGGGAGCGGGACAGCACACGCGGGGAGGAGGGGGCGAGAGGCATCGAGGGAAGAGGGCAGGGGGAGGGCAGAGGGCCGGAACGATGAGGGCGAGGGAGGGCGAGGGGAGGGGGGAGGAGGAGGAGGAGGAGGAGGAGGAGGAGAGCGAGGAGGAGGAGGAGAGGAGGAGGGGGAGGAGGGGGAGGAGGGAGAGGAGGAGGATGGAGGAGGAGGTGGAGGAGGAGGAGGAGGAGGGAGGAGGAGGAGGAGGAAGGAGGAGGAGGGGAGGAGGAGGAGGAGGATGGAGGGGGATGGAGGAGGAGGAGGAGGAGAGGAGGAGGAGGAGGAGGAGGAGGAGAGAGGGAGGAGGAGGAGGAGGAGGAGGAGGGGGGGGAGAGCCGGCCCCTCCCCCCCTAGGAGGTCCAGCACTCTGCGCCCCGCGGCAGGCAGCCGCAGACCGCGCCCCCGTCGCTGTGCACGGCAGCCCCCGCGCACCCCGGGTCCTGCGGAGGCTCGCCATCGCTCGGACCTCCATTTCCCGTGCACTTCTCGATTTCGTGCGTGTATGTTTCGCTGGCTGATTAATAATGCTCCTCGATGGTCGCCGCCACGAAAAGATGCACACGTCCGAGCGATGCCAAGGGAGGCGCGTGCGGCGCCCCGCCCCGGAGGGCCCGCGCGGCGCGCAGAGCCCGACGGCCCAGACGGGGCCGCCTGCCACGAGACTGCTCCCCTCCCGGAGGCCCTCGCTGCGCGAGGCGCCGCCCCCGAAGGGCTGGCTGGGTGCCACGGCCGCCCACTCCCCTAGGAAGAAGGTGCGCGGACCAGGATACGCCGACGCTGGCAAGGCTCAGATCGGGCATGTCCTCCTACAGGCGGATGCTGGAAGAGCCTTTGACAAGATTCAGGAATAGCCCAAACAAAAATCAGAACCGATTCTAGAACAGTCGTACCCGAGGTATGGTCTGACTACTTCTGAACACTCCTCCTGCAGAGGGACATGCCCGACGCACGGCCAGGAGGCCCAGCCTGAGCCCAGGATCGGTGGACAGGCCCTCCCGGCTTGGCCAGGGAGGCGGGTACGCCGATGAAAGGCCGCGGGATGTTGGACGCTTGGACATGGGCACCAACACCAACACAGGGGAGTTACGGCCACCTGGGAAGATGATCCTAGATTTCGGTGGTGGTGGTACGATTTCGGCCACTCAAAACCCGAAGATCACCACCATCACCAAGATCGGGATCGTCTTCCCTCGGTTAAGGCTCACCACCGAGATTGGTGCTGGTGCCGACCTCTAGGCCTCCGAGGATGGGGCCTGGCTGGGATCGGTGCGATTATGTGCATGATCTATACAATCAAAAACCTTAATAAGGACGCGCGGTAAGGACGCAAGACCCTTGGAAGCCGAAGTTGGGATTTTCGGGGCGGCGGACGACGAAAACCTCAAGGAAGCAAGAGCAAGGAAGAGCAAGGACGCAAGGGTACCCTGAGCAGAGTCGCGCGTCCTTATCAGGGTTGTTGACCGTATTTCGGCCACTAGAACCCGCAGATGACCACCATCGCCAAGCTCGGGATCGTCTTCCCTCGGTCGAGGCCCACCGCCGAGATTGGTGCTGGTGCCGACCTCTGGGCCTCCGAGGATGGGGCCCGGCTGGGATCGGTGTGATCATGTGCACAATCAACACAGTCGACCCGTCTCATAAGGACGCACGATACAGGGCAGCTTTTGATACATAGGATGTTTTAGAGCATTGGATTTGTAATACATGATTAATTCATGAATCAATGTATGCATGAACTCGTTGTTGCTTGAATACTGAATCCCTGCATTCTAAATACACACGCGGAGCATGCATTAAAAACGGCACTGTAAGGATGGAAGGTCCTTGGAAGACCGTGTCGACACTTCGCGGGCGGGGCGCGCCAGCAAAAGCGGCAGAGGGTGGATCGAGGAGTTAAGGGTACCCTTGGGAAGGTTGCCCATCCTTACGATACGGGTTGACTGTAATTCTCGTCGCCCAATTTCAGCATGATCTCTTTTTCGGCGGCGCGCCGAGGGGGAAAGTGACAAGGGACAGGCCTCCTCAGAAGGCAGCTGGGCTCCGCAGAAGCTCTCAAGCCATCTGAGAAGCGCTCTGCGGCTTCGGAGAAGGCCGGAAAAGCTCCTCAGAATGGCCAAGAAGCCCGCCGAACCTTCCGAGAAGCCCTGCCCCACTTGCCTTCCCCCCTGGGCGCGCCGCCGACTCTTCGGTAACGCGCCGGCACCTCACCGTACGGGAGGTTCGTGCCGCGTCGGCACGCGCAAATGCTTGACACCGCGTCGATCGTTCAGCCCTGAATCGGTCGCGGCCCCGATCCTTCAGGGTCCGACTACGTCGGGTCCAGTGGCGTCACCGTGTCCCTCGGTGCTTCCGCGTCGCAAGATTCAACCCTGCACGCCCTCGCCGGCGTTGCCGGCGTCGCTGGCGCACCACCGCCGCAGCAGCCCGCCGCACCCGCTTGCGAGGATGTCCGAGGTCCGCCAGGGCCAGCTCGAGGCAGCGGGCCGCGTCGGCCGGCCCCTGGAGCCCCTCGGGCGCCGCCGCGCCCCTGCGGGAGGCGCGGAACCGAGAGACCGGCACGCAGACTGCACACACGAGGACATCTACGGGGTGGGGGGGGGGAAGTGAGAGAGGGCGGGCCTTCTCAGAAGGCTCGGAAGTCCTCTGGCCCTCTGAAAGTAGATGAGCGCGTTCCACAACTCGCAAAGAAACTACTCGCAAAGGGCCTGGATCCGCCGCGGGGGATCTACGATTGATTGCATCGAAGCAGGCATGTGTCTTCGGACGGTTGCGAGTAGGCACTTTGCGAGTAAAGGAACGCGCTCAGTGAGAAATGGTGCTCTGAGCCCTCCACGAAGGCGCGGAGAACTCCTCAGAAGGCGCCAGGGCTTCTGAGAAGTCCCGCCGCCTTCTGAGCAGGCCTCCTCCTTCTCACTTCCCCCCTCGCTCGCCGCCGAAGACGAGCCTCATCGCGCCGCGGCAAAAAACACGACGGCCGGTTGTTGGCCGTCGTCTGTCTCCGAGGGCCCTGGGCGGGCCCCCGGGCCGTCAGAGCAGAGGCCGGGGATGAGCAGCTGGTCCCCAGCAAGCGGTTGGGGCGCCCGGGGGCCTCCTCCTCCTCCTCCTCCTCCTCCTCCTCCTCCTCCTCCTCCTCCTCTCCTCCTCCTTCTCCTCCTCTTCCTCCAATCCTTCTCGCCTCCTACCTCCCTCCTCCCCCCCTTCGTCCTCCCTCCTCCTCCTCCTCCTCCTCCTCCTCCGTCCTCCTCCCTCCTCCCTCCTCCTCCTCCCTCCTCCTCCCTCCTCCCTCCTCCTCCTCTCCTCCTCCTCCCCTCCTCCTCCTCCTCCTCCTCCTCCTCCTCCTCCTCCTCCTCCTCCTCCTCCTCCTCCTCCTCCTCCTCCTCCTCCTCCTCCTCCTCCGCCCCCTTGCTACCATGTGCTCCAGGGCCAGGGTCCTCTTCCTACATACCCATCACTCTAGGACGCGACTCCCAAGGGCCCCCCTGACAGCGGGTATGGATATCCTGGGGCACTCTGGGCCCCGAGAGCGCTCACATCCACTGCCTCCCAACATGCTAGGGGATCGGTGCCCCAAACGGGGATCCATCCGTCCGTTCATTCGGCGGCGAGCGAGGGGGGGGAGTGAGAAGGAGCGGGCTTTCTCAGAAGGCTCGGAAGTCTGCCGGCCTTCTGAGAAGTTAAGCCTTCCACGAAGACACAGACAACTTGTCAGAAGGCGCGAGGTCCTCTGAGAAATCCCGCCGCCTTCTGAGGAGTCATCCTCCTTCTCACTTTTCCCCCCTCGCTCGCCGCCGACTCATCCCACTCACCTGCAGCCGACGCCCTGGTGCAGCAGCGACCAGCTGGACCCCTGGGAGATGACGACGCCGCTGACCCGAGCGAGGCCCGGGCCCTCGCCAGGCCTGGCGACCAGGTCGACGACAACGGGCACTCCGAGGGCGCCCACGAGCTCCCTGGGGCCAAAGGTCAGCACTTCCGTGCCGCCAGACGGGGCCACCGACGCCACGAGCATGCCGTCTGCGACGGAGCGAACAGACACAGCCTGCAGCCCGCCTGCGACCGAAAGGTCCCGCACGACCCGTTCATCGCCGACGTCCCCTGTGAGCCTGATGCTGATGGACGCCTCTGCCGAGCACAGGAAGGGTACTGATCGAACGACGCACGGCTCCCTTCTGTTGGCATCGCTGCCGTCCGCTACTGCGGGCAAGCCAGCAAACGGACCCTCAACTCGAAGTGCTGGACACAGGCCCTCGCGATCGACGAAAAAATCGCGCAGCAACTCCTCGCTGTCGTAACTCTTGGAACGTATCAGCCGATACGACGGGCAATCTGCGCAGAAGGTGTTCAGGCCGAAGGTGTCCTTTGGCTGCTCTGCGTTCAGCGTCTGCGATGCTGCCAGGAGAAACAACAGCACACCACAGTCGTGGCCCATGCCCTGCTTGGAAAAAAGGGGCTGGCACGAAAGCGGGTGCGCTCGAGCCAAACGACCGCAGACACGACATTCGGCATCAGGGGAGGTGCGGCAATCGGGGCAAAATTAAGAAAACAAACAAGCGTGAGGTGCTCGCACACCTCTGCACACACGTACTCTCTCTCTCTCTCTCTCCCTCCTTTTCTCTCTCTCTCTCTCTCTCTCTCTCTCTCTCTTCTTCCTCTCACACACGCACACGCGCACACGCGCACACGCACACAAACACACACACACACACACACAGCGCACACGCAACGCACACGCACACCCGCACACAGACACCACGCACACACGCACACACGCACGACACGCATACACACACACGCACACACACACACACACACACACACACATCACGTGCGCCGCACACCAGAGGTACGCACCACGCACGCAACGCACGCACGCGCATGCACGCACGCACCACACACACACACACACACATACACACACCACACACACACCAACACACACGCACGCACGCATGGCCACCGCACGCCCGCACCTACGCACGCACGCACGCACGCCGCACTCACGGCACGCACGCGCAACACGCACTGCACCGCCGCAAGCACGCACGCAACGCACGGCCACGCACGAGATGGGCCGCCCCCACGCACGCACTAGGCACACTGCACGCCGCCACAGCACACGCACATTCGCACACGCACACGCACACGCGCACACGCGCACACGCACACACACACACACACACACACACACACACACACACACACACACACACACACACACGTTTGCCCGCGCGCCTTCCATCCTGGCCATGGCCTGTTCAAACTCGGCCCCTGGACTTCTGCATGGCACCGTCCTGATGAATCTTCGCACCGCGCCCGGCCATGGCGCCATGGAGACGAGGTGGCCCTGCAGGGCACGCCGTCGTGTCCGCCCGCACCAGTGAGCAAGCTGTTTTGCGGCGTCCCGCACGAGGCATCTCGAATCTGAGGGGGGGGGGCATCTTGCACCCCTTGCTGGGAGTGGCCCCGTTGGTGGTGGTGGTAGTGGTGGTGGTGGTGGTGGTGGTTGTGGTGGTGGTGGTGGTGGTGGTGGTGGTGGTGGTGGTGGTGGTGGTGGTGGTGGTAGTGGTGGTGGTGTGTGGTGGTGGTGGTGGTGGTGGTGGTGGTGGTGGTGGTGGTGGTGGTGGTGGTGGTGGTGGTCGTTGTGGTGGTGGTGGTGGTGGTGGTGGTGGTGGTGGTGGTGGTGGTGGTGCCATTCCTCCTTGCCCGTGCCATCGCTCGGACGTCCATTCCCCGTGCACTGCTCGGCCTCGTGAGTGCCTCTCTTCGCGAGGTGGTCCAGGACGTTCCTCGGTGGCCCTCGCCAGCAGAAAATGACGAGCGAACAGCACACACCCACATCCACAGAGGGGTCGGAGGGGGAGCAGGACTGGCTGTGGACACGGGTGCGGCGTGTCAGCCCCCCGGGGGGGAGGCTCCCGTTCGAGCGGGGACCCCCACCCGACAGCACGCACCCACAGCCCCCTCCGTCACCCCTAAGTCAGTTGTTGCTAGAAGTGCCCCTGGCCCAAGGTGCCCCCAGCTCTTCGCCTCATTTCGGGCCCCCATTGGGGCGCTCTGGGCCTCGTGAGGGGTGCTCTGGAGGCCGTCCGGGGCCACCCCGAGAATCCTGGGGGGCACCGGGGGCACCTTGAGGCCAGGTGTACTTCCAGCACAACCCGACTTGAGGGCACGGGCGTGTGCTCGTGCTGCTCGTTCGCCAAGGCAGTGCAGCACGGCCGAGCGGTGCCGAGCGCCTTCCCAGCGGTGCGAGGGCGCAGGCGCCCGAGCACTCGAGGAGAGCGACCCCGGGCGAGGCCCCCCCCCGCGCGAAGGGGCGCAGGGTGGCTCTCCGCAGACCGCGCTCGCGCCGCCCGCGCCACAGGGACAGAGCTCCATCGGGCGAACGCGCTCCGCTGCTCGCAGAGCCACTGCTCGCAAATGTGGAGGGGCCCGGGGACACACAAATCAACACACACACACACACAAATAACAGGACTCCCCAGATTTTCATATACATATATATATATATATGTATATATATATATATATATATATGTGCGTATGCATGTGTGTATGGGGTGTTGGTCTTCCCCCCCACTTCCCATATTTCCCCATAGTTTCAGGGGGATCGACGATTCATTGTGTCTGTGTGTGTGTGTGTTGTTCCCCTCCTGCAAATGGCCTGGATCCCCCGCGAAGGGTGCACGATCAATCACATCGAAGCAGGCATGTGCTTTTCGGACGTCTGCGGGTAGCCATCTTGCAAGCAGTGGAACGCGCTCGGCGAGTCTCTGAGGCCCGGCCACGGCTCTCTCGGCGGCGGCAGAGGGGAGGAGGAGGAGGAGGAGGAGGAGGAGGAGGAGGAGGAGGAGGAGGAGGAGGAGGACGAGGAGTAGGGGGGAGGAGGAGGAGGGGGAGGAGGAGGGGGAAGGAGAGGAGGAGTGGAGGAGGAGGAAGGAGGAGGTAGGGGGTGAAGTGACCCAGGAGGCGCTCCCCACGAGGGCGGCGGGGGGGGGCGGGACTCCTCCGAGGCCCTCGCGCGTCCCCTGGGAGGCCTGCCGCGCCTTCGGAGGAGCTCGAACACTTCTGAGAAGGCTCGGAAGCCCCCGTAGGGAAACGAAGGATGACATGAGCATAGAAGCTCGGAGGTGGGGGGTCCAGCGCGGGTCCGAGAGACCCGCGCGGACCTCCAAGTTTTTATGTTCATGCCACTCTTCGCTCCCCGAAGGACTTCAGAGCCTTCTGAGAAGGCCTCCTCCCTCCCCCTTCTGCCCCTCGCTCACCGCCGACTCTCCGTCGGCGGCCCCCAGTCTGGCTGCGACGCCACTGCCTTGGAGCGTCCTAGAGGAGGGTCGTGCACGGGAGGGCGCCGGCGGTGCAGCGGCACAACTCCTGGCCGGGCTTGATGGGCACATTTTCCACCACCACTACCAGAATGCAGAGACAGTAGCGCGAGGGGAGAAAGGTATAATGAGAGGTCCACCACCCCCTCCTCCTCCTCCTCCTCCTCCTCCTCCTCCTCCTCCTCCTCCTCCTCCCTTTCCTACCTATGGTAGCAGTGGTGGAAGATGGGCCCGTGAAGGCTCATCCAGGGCCCCGGAGTGGTGACAGCGCCCTCCTGGCTTGGGCGGGAAGGTGCTTGTCTTGCTTGGGCACGAAGGCAGGTTGGTGGCGGCATCCAGACCATACCTCCACTAACCATCGACTCTCCTGAATCGATGTGAGGCAGGATAGGTCTTAAATGCCCCAATATGTTCGACGAGCTCCGAAGCAGACCACCCCACACCCATCGAGCTGCCTGAAGCGGTGATCGGCGAGAGTACGAGCGAACGAACGGGTCTGCCTTCGCCCCGAGGCGACCCTGCAAGGGCGGCAGGCGCGCCAAACGCGCTGGCCTCCAGGAAGGCTGTGGTGCAGAAGAGGCGTGAGCCGTCCAAGAGATGTCAAAATACTTATACAAGTAAGAACTTGGCGCCACAAATGTTTAACGTACTCATCCTCGAAAGCTTGCCACTTCTCGAATATTGTGGCCACCTCGCTCCACGACACCCCACCTTTGTCTCTGCCCCCCAAAAAGCATCCTCCCAACGGGCGAACCGTCCTGGCCTAGACCGCACAGGGCGAGTCAGAGTGCCACGCGCTTGGTCTGACCACCAGTCAGAATTACGCCACTCAACTAATGTCATGCCAATTGTTATACACCACCACCGCCCGCAACAGTTATCGCAAAGATGATTGGGGTCATGCCAGACGACGCTGCGACCCTGCGGCGAACAGGAGCGCCTCGCGACGCGCGGGCGCCGTGGTGAGGGAGTTCCTGAAGCAGAAACAGCCCTTCTTGATGGTGGCGTATAAAAATCGCACCTCTTTGTAGCCAAAACTGTGTGCACCACCACCGCACGTGTTCTGTCTGAGGAGTTCTGCTCCAGTCCGGTACAAAAGTCCGGGGCCTCACCATCGCTGGGGCGTCCATGCCACCTGCACGTGTTCGATGCCGTGCGTGTGTTGTTGTTTTTCTTCCGCGAGAGGATCAAAGATCGTCGATGCCTCCTCGATGCCTCGTCCTTGTTTTGTTGTTTTTGTTCCGCGAGATGCCTCCTCGATGGCCCTGGCCGGGAAAAAAGGGCACACGTCCGAGCGATGCCAAGGGGCTGGCGGCTCGAAGAACGAGGAATCGCCAGGAGGTCAGTGCGGTGGCAACTCATGGGGGAGCCTCCAATACCATATTGTCGGCTCTTGCGAATCGACGGTAATCGACGATAAGTCGTCGCTAGTCGACGCCAAATAGACGCTCATCGACGCAAAAATCGGCGATACTTCATCGACTCCCAGACGCTAAACGATGCTGGTCGACGCAAAAAAGATGAATTACGAGAAACAAAAAACGAAAAAAACGACGAAAATACGAAAAGAGATAAACGAATCGGAGATAAAAATAAAAAAAAAAATAAAAAAAAAAAAAAAAAAACGAAGAAACGAAAAAAAAGAAAAAGAAAAAAAAAAGAATTACAAAACGAGAATACGAAAAAGAAACGAGAAATAAAAAAGAAGAAAGAAAAATAAAAAAAAAATAAAAAAAAAAAGGTTACTCTGGATGGTGCAATGATCGCCCCCCCGAGGATCCGCTGGGGTTGGACACTGCTGTCGGAACGGGTGGCGGTGTTGGAGAGGAGATAGAGGAAGGGAGGAGAGGAGGAGGAAGAGTAGGAGAGGAGATGAGTGAGGGAGAGGTGGAGTAGGAAGGGGAGGAGGAGGAGGAGGAGAAGAGGGAGGAGGAGGAGGGAGAGGAGGAGGAGGGGAGAGGAGGAGAGAAGCAAAAAAATACTAAAAACAAAAACAAAAAAAACAAAATAAAATGAGGAGGGGGGACAGGGGGAGGGATTGGGCAAGCTCCGTCGGAAGGTTCGTCGCCCACCCCTCTGGCTGATCTTCCCACCCAGAGCTTGGCAGAGCTTGGCAGGCTCCCACGAGTTGCTGCCGAAGCCAGAAGGCCTGGGCGCGCACCCCCCCTTTTCCGCGCGAGGCTGGGGAGCCGCCACAGGCCGCCGCAACCCGGCGATGCCCCGGCTCGGCCTTGCTCGGCCGGCGGGGCGCGCGCGGCGAGATCTTTCGGGGAGCGGCCCGGGCGTGCACAGCCACCACGGAGGCCTTGTCCGCATGGAGTCCTGGCGGCGCCCCTGCGTCCCACAGTCGACCCGTATCGTGAGGATGCACGGTGAGGACGCAGGGACCTCGGAAGGCCATTTCGAAGCTTTTCGGGCGGGGCGAGGCCAGCTAAAGTGGCCAAGGATGGACCAGGGATGCAAGGATGCAAAGGTACCCTTAAGAAAATCCGCCCAGCCCTCTGGGCGACAGGCGGTCTGACGATGTCTTTCTTTCCTCTTCCACAACGCCTTCTTCCTTTTCGGGAAAGGGTTTATCAGTCACTGATCCTTGTTAATACACCCCCTCCCCCAGGCGACCGGTGGCCAACCAGGCACCATGCCGACACCATGCCCACCCGCCCCCCACCATCCCTGTCAAAAAACAATGCAAGCCGCACTCTGCCTCCACATTTGGAGCATGCACGGCCAACCCGATGCGGCCCCCCCTCCACCATCCCTATCAAAAAATGCAAAGTATATTTTGGGGCAAAGTCTTGAGTTATGTTCATGAGGCCCGCGAGGGCCTCGTATTGTTTTAACATGGACGGCGGGGGTGTCAGCATATTCCCTGCTGCGCGCAGGTCTACCATCCCTGACAACAAAAAACAAAGCAATACGACATGCACCTCGCGGCTAAATCTGGATCATACGCGGCAATCCCGCGATCACTGTCAAGTGGTTCTGACAGGGACGAGGGGGGGGGGGGCGCGTGACCTGCTGTGCGCAGGTACACCAGACACAATGATGGGCATCTGTTTTCAACGAGGATGGCGGGGGCCGACATGGTTCCCGATGTGTGCTGTCACGTGCGCAGGCGCACCTGACGCACTCTGCGCGTGCCCCGAACGCGGCGCACCTGGCGCGGCTGGAGTGTGCGGCACACCTGACGCACTCGGAGCACGTGGCGCATCTAGCGCACCAGGCGTGCCTGGCGCGCTCGGGCCCTAGGGGTGCCTGGCGCGCGTGGCGCCCCTGGCACGCGTGGCGCACCTCGCCCAAGCGTCGCGCACCTGGGGTCGGCTTTGGTTCCCAGTAGCTGCCCATCCAAAGACGACCGCTGAACATGCTCAGGCTCGAATGTTACTTGTGTGTAGGAAGGGCGGGTGGGAGTGAGCTAGACGACATGCGGGCGGGTGGGTAGCTTGACCCCTCCCCCTACCCCCTACCCTGGAACTTGACTGGGGGGGGTCGCGGGTCGTTGAAGGGTCCTTTTTGGCCCAAGATGGCTCCAAGAGGACCTCATAGAGCCCAAGATGGCCTCCAAGATCGCTCAAGATAGCCCAACATGGCCCAAGATAGCTAACAGCATGCCTCCAAGAGGCCCCAAGAAGGCCACAAGACGGTTCTAAGTGCTTTTGGAGACCCCTCAGGACCTCCCCGAGAAGCCAAAAACATTCAAAACCAATGAGTTTGGCCTTGTCGCCATTCCACTTCCGATGCGTTTTTGAGGCCTCAAGATGGCCCAAAGATGGCCCAACAAGGCTCCAAGAAGGGCCCAAGACGACCCCAAGACGAACCCAAGACGGCCCCAAGAGTGCCCAAGATCACGCCAAGAGGGCCCCAAGATCAACCCAAGAGGCTATTTCGATGGCCCCGGAGGGGCGACGAAAATCGAGGACCCCCCCTCCTTTGATCGATGGTCTCCAAGATGGCCCCAGGAGGCGCTCGATAGCTCCCAAGAGGACCCCAGGAGAGCACCAAGAGAGCCCCAAGAGGGCCCCCTGAGGGCCCCAAGGCGCCCCAAAAGAGCCTTAAGAGGACCCCAAGGTCCCCCAAAGAGCCCCAAGAGGGCCCCAAGATGCCCCGAAAGAGCCCCAAGAAGACCCCCACACGCCCCCAAAAAGCCCCATAGCTCCAAGAAAGCCCCCGTGCTTCCAGATAGCTTCCAACATGGCTCGACACGTTCCTCCCCCTCTCTTTGACCGCGCTGTTTCACTATATGCGTCTCTGCTTTCCATTTCCCGTCAGCTCGCGTGGGCAGGGCGCCTGAATGGGCTGGCGAGGATTCGCGAAGCGAAAATAATTGCCCATCCTTACTATGCCGGGTTGACTGTGCCCCAGTGCTCGGAAGCACGCCGCTGCCAAGACGACCTGCCTCCCCCACCCTCCATCGTGCTCCCGTCCGCTCGCAGAGGTCGTCTGCGTCCCCCCGTCCCCTTTACCCCTGTCCTTCGCACCCCTCTGCTGCCCCCTCGCCAAGCCCACCCAGCCCCATCCTCTCACATCCGCCCCCGTCCCCCTTCCAAATCGCAATCCTCTTGGAGCACCTTGGCTCAATCTCTGAACACCCACGCGCGAATGATGATGATTCTTGCGATGACATCAAAGCGTGCGCAACATGGAAGAAGATCCTTCCGGGAATACGTACCCTGACGACGTGAGCACCCCACTCGCCCATGAACCGCACCAACAAAAAAATGACTGGAAAGACGGCGACGCGGGGAGGATGACCCGGACGATCAAATAACAGGAGGAGAGGAGAGATGGAGGAGTGGCATTTGGCCGCGCCAACGGGCATTTTGCAATGTTGTCTTTCTTCGCCACCAACGCTGCCATCCACCTCACACACTAGCTCCCGCAGGGAGGCCCGACGGGAGTCTTCGAACGACCGCTTGCGTTACGGCTATCCCGTGGCTTGACGCCGCTCCTGTTCAACGGCATCACCTCGACTTTATCGCCTGATACTTGACGCCACGAGGCAGCTCGAGGACGTCCAAACGTGTCTCGGCGTTCTTGACCTGATTGGCGAGAACGGCGCTCATGCACCGTACCATGCCTGGGCTCTCTTCGGGCCTCGCTCCAACGCTGTACAGTGCGTAGTCGCTTCGGCTCCGAGGGCTCAAAAACTATGCACCGCACCAGGCCTGGGTCGAAGATCGGCGACGCCTCGGAGGAGTCCAACGCTGCACGGTGCACAAAACGTCGTCCACGAACGATTGCCTCCGCCGACGCCCTGACTCAGCACGTGCAAGAGGTCGACTACTTGAGGCAAACGTGCTCTCCGATCGGCCGAAAACACGACGCAGCCGAGCCATGACCCTCTTGTAAATCTCTCTACCTTCCTACACGCCTTCCAGAGGGCACCCTTGCCCACCCCGAGGCGCCCTCCTCGACATCGTCCATCGGCCATGTCGTCCAGACTGCGCAGGCCCCTCGGAAGAGGACAACCCCCCAACTAAGATCACGGCGGCCTGCCAACAGACTGTGCAACGAGGGCCTGTCCGGCAAGACGCCCAAACGTCAACAACGAGCTGGTGACAGTGAGAACGCGCGTTCGGCTACACGCGAAAGTGACCCTGGGTAAGAGTGACCTTTGGTGCGCGGCTTTTTGGGGTCCGCGGGGGGACCAAGCACAGGCGCGCAGGGAGCTACTATCGCATCGCGTTCGGCGATCGGGGAACCCCATTGTGCCCGCACCAAAGGTCACTCCGGCTAAGGGTCACTCTCACGTCTAATCAACGCGTGCCCCAGGTAATTACCGCGTTCTCCTCGGCATGGCCACCGCCGCCCGGCACAACCAGACATGCGGAGGCTCGTCGTACGCCCAGGCTTCCGTGAGCATCATAATCATGCCAACTCGGCCGCTGACTCAGAGCGCACCTTGGCGCCCGCCACCGACAAGAGCCACGCTGACGCGCGACGCCTCCTTCCCAATGAAATCGGCGCCTCGGAGGTGATCGCCAGCTTCGTGCACGCTCCCAAGTCCTCATCGAACGGATGGCAGCCCAGAGCAACCTCGGAATCTCTGTCTTCTCGCAGAGGTTCTTCATCGGCCTGGACACCCAAGCTATCGAGGCGAGGGGGTTCTCGCTCGCATAATAGATTTAGCGCTCCATGCAAGAGACGGCGATGTCAACTTCAGGATGCATGAGGACAGCGGCCACATTTACAACCTCGCGCTGCTCGAACGTTGGGCCAGGAAGTCCCAACGAGAAAGCCAAGGATCGCAAGGTCGGTGCTCGCACGTGGACCAAGTGGCGCAAAAAAGGCCCACGCAGATCATCCAATCAACTCCTCCAGCCACAACTCTCTGTAAGCCAAAGACCCCGAAGATGACCCCAGGGTAGGTCAGCTAATCACACGAATTACGTGCGTATCCGAGTCATTTGCTCGACCAGTGCTGCCAGCTCAGCCCAGCATGAATCCTGACTCCGAGCCGTCTGCAACGGCAGGGAACGGTAGAAGTAACCATTCTCGGGCTGGAACTGTGACATTCATCACCCGAATATCGAGATGCTCGGTGCGGGGCAGATCCGTAGTATAACGATCCTGAAGCTACCTCGACGACGCGCTGGCACAGCGTCGGGGATTGCCTCGAACCAGGCGGCCCTCTCCTGGACCGGCAAAGGGAAGCCCCCTCCTCCTCCTCCTCCTCCTCCTCCTCCTCCTCCTCCTCCTCCTCCTCCTCCTCCTCCTCCTCCTCCTCCTCCTGGCTCAAGTCGGCTCTCCGCCGGCTTGGGCGGTACTCATCTTGGCTCGAGCTCTGCACATTTCAGCTCGCCAAGCTCTACCGCTCTTGCCGAGAGCCTCCATATGCTGGATGTCTTGTGCGCCGCCCATCCGCGTGCGGCCCCCCGGCAGTCCTCTGGCAGCGCCGCCCGTCGGGCTCGGGCGCGAAAGGTGGCCATCCGGCATGCGCAAGTGCAGGCGCTGGCCGTGAGCCGCCTGCTGGGGTGCAGTACCCCGCCCGGACTCGACCTCGGCTTCGAGAACACGCGCTTCGCGGACACCGCGTACGGCCTCGAGCTGCCGATCGAGCAGGCACTCGATACGGACGCCCAGTACGACCTAGTGCTGGACACGCTCGGGATCGCGCCGTCCGTGCCGACGACCGCCCCGCTCCACAGGGGCGACGAGGAGGAGGACACCAACTTCCTCACCACGGAGGCGCCGAATATGCCGCCTGTCGTCAGGACTACACCATCACCAAGCGCGGGACCCTGCAGGCGGACCAGATCACCGCGAACTCCGAGGATGGAGACCTCGAGCCCTCGACCAGGGAGGCGCCCTACGTGCCATCT